GTGCTATAAATGGATTTTGCTATAATGTCTGTATTAATAAAATCAATCATGGAAAATATATTCTATTTATTTTTCACACATCGGTTATAGCGAACCAAAACTGTCAGTGTTCAGAAGTTCACTACAACCGGAGTCTGAAGTACTATGAAATGCATTTAAATGAGAGATACGATTTCCAATCCATTTACAATACTTGCGTAAGAAACGTTTCCGTCTGATTAACCTTGACGGTGGATGATGTGCATTTTTAATAGGAGTAATTAGATTGCATCGCATGCAAGTGAATTGACTATGAATCATGTTACAGTAATGTAAGAATATCAACTACGGTGTTACGGTATTATGCAAATAAATAATTTATCTAATTTGTATTGCATGAACAATAATTTATATACATTTTAAATTTATGATCGGACAAAAATATGAAAATTATTAGAAGAAATCATTCAAATTTAAAAGACTTCAAAACTCTAAAATTCAAAATCACATTTAAATCACATTTATTTTTAAACGGATTGGAAACTAATTTGGTAAAGTTCAAGTAAGTACTTCAGAAAGCGAAATTACATAAACAGAACAGCCAAGATGATTACAATACATTTAAAAATATAATGGTGAAGAATAGCAAGAATTGCATATAATTGAAATCAGGACTTATGTTCTCAACAAACACCATAGACTTTTGGATTGAATTTATTTTTCTAGGAATGCTTGGGCACCCATAGTCCCTATTGAAAACCCCCAAAGTAATGTGTGAATGAATAAATTACATTTTCCCCTTGCAAACCCATGTGGAATAAGAAACGATATATTGTTAAATTAACTTTAATACTGAGATAAAAGTACTTCTCGGCTTCAGAGCGTCCATTTTATGGACTCTAATATATATTTGTAAACAAAGCTTCAATCTTCAACGACGTAGCGATGCTGCCTGAATCCCACACTCAGGGATGCTTCTGTAGGCTATAATGAAGTTTGTTTAGCCTGTGCTCTTAAATGAGGGCTTTAAAACACTCTTCTCCAAATAAATAAAAAATGAAGACGCGGGCTTCCGCGGCTCGAGTCATGTGCATGATCTTGGCTGTCTGGGTGACGCCGCGTCGAAGGCTGTGTTGCCGACGTTTCGATCATCTTGTGGTATGATCATCATACCAGCCTTGAGGAAGACTACGACAAGATGGTCGAAACGTCGGCAACACAGACTTCGACGCAGCGTCACCCGGACTGCGAAGATCATGCAAATACAAAATGTGTAAACCATGACGCAACCTTCCCCTTTCGTCAATCACGTTCAGAGCCTATAAATTCAAAATGATAATTGCACGTTTCATTAATTTACAAAAATATTACATTAAAAAATTATCCAAAAGTCGTCACAAAGAAAAGTGTGAATTATATCTATTTTATTAAACAAGATTATGATACAAGAACTCCCACCACAAATGGAATACATTTCTTGAATAATAGAACTGAAGAAAAACGCTGTTCTATCAAAAATACTTCGAATTTACAAAAAAGAGATAGTCTGACAATATCGTATTTTAATTGGATAAAGATAAGAATGCACGATTGAATAATTAGTTAATGAAAAAGGAATAAATGAATGAAAGAATGCATTAATTCATTAAAGAATTGATCGTGACTGAGCAATGAAACATGACTTATCTTTATCTATAGTACGTACTAGTACGCGAGAAATTAATCACGATTAACGAAAGAATGAATAATGAACAAACGGGTAAAGAGTGAATGATGAATGAATAATAAACAAATGAGTAAAGAGTGAATGATGAATGGGTAATGATGAAAAGCGCCTGGGCGAAGGAATGAATAATGAACGCGTGACTGCATATCGCACCCGCGACTGTGCCCGCAGGAGTCAAGACCGCGTCGCACCTTCCGACGGTGGCGCCGCGCCGCGGGCACCAAGTACACGGTGGAGCTGGGTCTGTTCTTCGACGCGGCGGCCTACAAGCTGTTCGCGCCCTTCTTCCAGAACGACGAGGCGCAAATGCGCGACATGCTGCTGGCCTACATGAACGGGGTACGCGCAGCGCGGGAACGACGCGGCCGGGGCGTGGGAGTGCGGGGGGCGTGCGTGGCGCGGGCGGGGCAGGGTGGGACGGGGAAAGAGAGACAGGGTGGCCGGTGGACGGGTTAGGACGCCTGTGCGGGACATGTAGGGGGGGGTGGATTCGCGGACGAAGCATGGGGTGGACGCAGGCGGGGAGCGACCGTGAGCGGGAGGCGTCGGAGGCGGGAAGGGCTGGGTTTGGTGGGGAGCAAGGGTGGGGATCAGGTTGGGTGAGCCCTGGCAAAGCGGGTTGGCGGCCTGGGAGAGAAATGGCCGGGCGGGGGACGGGGTGGGGGACGAAGACCGGGACAGGACAGGACGGGACGGGACCGGGATGGGACGGGGCGGGCCGAGACTGGGACGGTGACGGGACGGACGAGACGGGCACGGGATTCGGGAACGGGACGGGAGGGACGGGACTGGGACGAGACGAGACGGAACGGCAACAGACGGGACGGGAGGGGCGCAACGGGACGGGTAACAAGGAAGGGACGGGACGGGACAAGGACAAGGTAGGGCCGGGCGGGGCGTGGGCGGAGTTGAGGGCGGAGCGGGGCGAGAGGGTGGGGCAGGATGGACGGGACAGGATGGGAGGGACAGGATGGAGATGAGACGTGATAAAGACGCGACGAGACGGGACAGGCGGGCGGCAGGGACAAGACGAGACAGGAACGGGGCGAGCAAAACGGCATGGGTCGAGGAAGGGAACGAGACGGAGCATGGCCCGGGTGGACAAGGCGCGGCATGGAGGGTGAGGCTGGGGCAGGGCGGTGGAGCGAGGCGGCGCGGGGTGGGGCTGGGTACATCGAGACGAGATGGAGTGGGATTGGAATGGAGGGTGGAACGGGATGAACGGGAACGCGGTCAAGACCGGGACGGGGCGAGGCATGGCGTGGCCGGGGGACATCAGGGGGGGCGGAGCATGGTGGCGGAGGCGGGGAGGGGGTGGCGGGGCAGGGCGGGACCGGGCGGAGCGCGGGCACGGCGTGGTTCCACGACATCCGAGACGCAGCTCAAGGAGATGCCACACTTTCTAGGTCGGGGGTATAACGGTCAGGTTTCATCAGGCAGGGGTACTTGGTGTCGCTGTTTCTTGAGGATGAGTTGGGAAATCGGCTCGTAACAGTGAAATGGAATTCTTTATGCTCTATACAGAGCGGTGGAAGGCTAACGCATCAAAGCTAGAGTTGGGGGAGGGCCCTAAGCTTCACGACGGGCGGGTGATGGTAGTTGAAGTGGAATGAAATTGAGACTCGATAGAAGAAAAAACTGAAAATATTCAATTGTATACCTTGTCTTTAAAGTAATTGCACCATTTGGTAAATTAATACTCCATATGATAGCAGTTCGGAAATTATTTCACCAAAGAGGTAGTGGATTGTATCCGCCACCGCTTGCGGCTCTCCAGAAGGTTCCTCGTGCATTCTGTGGAGGATGTCTGGGACTTGTTCCGTTTGTTAAACTCTAGTCTAAGAATCGAGCCATTTCTCGCGTCTTGTGGAGATTGAAATGAGCGCTATAATCTAAAGAGGGGAATTTTAAAGTTTTTTTTTACAATTTCACTCAGTACAAATCTCGCTACTTCGTAATGTTTTGACCTTTATAAGTTCATAATTCAAGATCTGCACGACGTCGCACTAATTACTTGTTTGATTTATTGATTTGTTTCTGGGCACGTCCACTGCGGAGGCCATTAGTCCCGTAAGTGTTGTGCATTTTTATCGAGGGACGTGGCAGTGATCTTCTCCCGCTGGATGACATCTGGCCTTGACCTACACATGGGCTTTCGAAGTTTTCCTCAAGGTATCTCCCACTCACACCAGCTGGGACAAACTCTAAGCTCCCGGCATATGTGGTAGTGTGTTTCTGCAGTGCATGTAAATGTATATGTAAGTAAGGGGTGTGGTTAAGACAAAGAAGAGAAAGGAGGGATCGCGCGAGATTCCGTGACCCGTTTGTTGTGGTACTGCTCCGGCATTCGCCTGCTGTTGAAAGGAAAACGACCGATCAGAGCAGCTCGTCGCTGGAATTCTTCTCCAGATAACGACTGAATTCGACCTAGCTATCTAACCTGAACCATCTCATCTGGGCTGGATCTGTGATGTCGGCAGATTTGACCCACCCCTCTTGATGACGGAAATGGAAAAACATGCATCCTGCACAGATTAGCAACCAATGATGTTGATTTTTGGATTACACTTGCTTCTCATGCCTCAAATATTTAGGCCGTGCAATATAATAAAATATTTGCGATCAACAAAAGCGGTTTATTGCTTACTTTGGTGGGGCCCCGTACGATAGCTTTAAAGACATTTTCATAACAAAATCAATAGCCCTTTTTCAGTAAATCTATTTCAATGTAGTGCGCAAAGAAAAATCTTCGAGTCTGATGGATTCTACATTTTATCTCCCTTTGATATATTTATCGCGGAAAAGGTTTAGCACACAATGCAAAGAAGATTTTGCAAAGAAGCGATAATGAAATTATTAAATGAAGAGATAACCACAGATAAGTGGCTCTCACACTGTAGACTGATATGGATGAACGTCGACAACGCAATTTAACACAATGTGATTCTTATTAAGAAAGTTCTGGTAGAATGTGTCAACTACTCACTGTCTTCTCCTTTCTTTCTACAGCTAATTAAGAGGCCACAGATCACCCCGCTACAAAAATAGTATATTAAAAATAAATGAAAAATATATGCATTCAAAAAGATAATAATAATATTAATAATAATAATTATTATTATAATTATGTATTTTCTTCATAATGAATTAATGCTCTAAAACGTTCAGAACATCGAAACATGTGACCATAGAATATTAGGTAAATAAATAAATGGAAATAAATAAAGCTAAAATTAAAACAAAATGCAAATAAATTACACGTTATATTGAAGTAGCTACGGTTACATTGCCTTAAGCTTTCCAACATTGAATGCTAAGAAGAATACGTTTGATTGTTTGATCATCTCTCCCAAGATAGTGCCTCAAGTGGAGTGGCTTAAGTGGAAATATTTGAATGAGGGAATGTTACGGCTTATATAAGAAACAATGCATTTCGGTGTAAACACATATTTAAAGTAATGCATCAGTGCAAATGTTAACGTTCGAAAAATAATGTTAGAATTTTATTTTAGAATAGCGTGTAAGCAAATATTCTCTTTGACCACTTTAAAAATGCACGTGCGCACAAGTTAAAACTTAGACATTCAGTGAGCTACGTTTGCTCTGGCACTTTCTCTGACGTAGTGCCCAGCAGAAGCGAGAAGTAATAGAACCGGCCTTCAATGAGCAATGACAATTGTAGCTGTAAATGCTACAAACCCGCTAATTAACTCCGGTCTTATTAACTGAGTGTATCATAACTCCCTGGCTGCCCTTAGGCTGCCGGCATTGCACCATGCATAAACCTTGCTCCGTGATCTCTCTCAGGGAGAAAAAGCATGCAATGTCTGTGGTAGCGTTGTCATTGCATCTGCAGCAACCTTGACAGGGCGGCCCTACAGTTCGAGTGGCAACGGAAGCGGAATCTCGCCTCTAGGTTTCGAATTCAATCATCGTCTGGAGAAGAATTCTAACAGCTAGCTACTCCGATCGGTAGTTTTTCTTGATTTCTCCCATTAATACCAGGTGAATACCGAAGCATAAACGGGTCAGGAACCACGAGCGATCTTTTCTCCATCATTCGTGTCCATCCTCCTTCCTTATATATATATAAGGAAGCATGCACTACATCATCTCGAATGTTGGGAGACAACATTCGGAGAGCTTAGAGCGTGAGCAAACTGGGCAGTGTGTCGCTGCGGGAGATGCCTAGAGAGGGAAACCCGCAGATGTTGAAGTCAGCAACGGATCTAACGCTCTTCGGAGAGGAGCACCGCCCTCTCCAAGGATTTAATATGCACTGTATTTCCGGGCCTAATGACCAAAGCAGTCGCCGCGCCTGGAAACCCAGGTTAATAACCAACGAGTCCATCTGCCCGTGGCAGGTGCAGGCGCTGTACCGGCACCAGAGCCTGCGCGCCAACGTGGACCTGGTGCTGGTGCACCTGGAGCTGCAGCGCGCGCAGCCGGCCGACCTGCCCACGCACGCGGGCGAGCGCGGCAAGCTGCTCGACTCCTTCTGCGCGTACAGCGCCAAGCACAACCCCGGCGACGACAAGGACCCCAGGCACTGGGACATGGGCCTCTACGTGTCCGGGTGAGTCCCGACCCACGTTTCCCATCGGGCCCCCGCCAGCCACGTGGGCGACGCGGTGTTGGGGAGCAGATTGAGGTAGCAAAGAAACAATTATTGCAAATAATCCAATAACGGGTTTTTACTTTAACTCCCTATACTATGCTCTGTGGTGGAGGGATTAGAAACCACCTCAATGTCTCAAATTTTCGGTCAAACAGATGGAGTTTAAGTTTCCTTTGTGCTGTAATTTCACTCATACGACAACGTTTAGGACTTTTAGGGCTATTCCAAAGTAGATGGTGGAGGAGACGAGGAGATATTCGTACACGCAATTTTGTTCCTGAAAATCGGAATGTCGTGCTGCGGATTTGTGCTGTTAGGGAAATCATCAAGATTTTTAATTTCTGGTGATACTTTACATACACCACCTGTGGCATTATCAAAAATTTCTTGAAAACTGTATAAAATTTTCTTTAATTTTTTTGCTTCCATAGAAACAAGAGGATTTTCAAATTAGTATAGTTCAGCTTTTCATAAAAATCTCCGAAATTTTGAAAACTGTGTAAGCTCAAATCTATTTTGGAAGCTATCCTACAACTTCAATATTAGAGCAACAGAGTTCTTACCATATTTATCCAACAATTTTAGATTTTTGAATGATGTCATGCACTTTTTATTAATCAGAGCATTTGTTGAGAAATGGCTCTAAGGCACTAAGAGGAAGAATCGTTTCGGAATGCCGTGCATTCCCACTAGTTTAAATAAGTTTTCAGGATAGACTTATAGATCATGTGCTAAGAAGAACTGTGACCAAACTATGATATCTTGAAATATTATTGAAAATGATAACATGTAATCCAAATTAATAACAGTAACCTTAAAAACTTAAAAAAATATATTCAAAGATTTTATAAAGGCAATTCAGAAAAAATATTATAAACTTTTAGTATTTAGGGTAAAGATCAATCAATCACATTCCGATGATCACGTAATTAGAAATCTCATTTAACGAAGTTACACACGTAAAATCTGACATCGCTGATTGGGAGGTATCTCACCTTGCTCTGCTGTTCGCCAAGTACAAAATCTCTAGGAAACGACATGCCTACTGGCAAAGTCAATGTAGAGTTTTTATCTTTATTGTCCTACTCTGTCTACAAAAATTCCTGGAAGTGGTGAACGTAAAGTTTGATAAATGTGTAGGAACAGTGATGCACGTTCTGACGCAACCTCTTGGAAATACCTTTTTGTAGTCTGAATGCAGCGAACTGGGGCTGACACTCTGGCTACCAGTTTTTCTATCGTCGTCACCATCTTTTAAATATAAGGAACGACACGTGTCCTAACAGAAACAATCCAGTAGTGTCAAACCCACCGACCTAAGAGGCACAGCAACCCCTGTGCCAATTACACGACTTTCGCAAACAGGTGTTCCCACGAGGCTACAAAGTGTGCCATTGCTACGTAGTTTTGTAACCTTAAAGTGTCCTACAAGTGGCACATACTCCCAAAAAGTAGGTAACGGCTCTCGTAGAAATGTTGAGAAGGCCGTGTAATTAGTTACTCTTCACTAGGTTGAGGCGGGCCGGAGAAATGTACGAACCAATAAATTGATTCCCATTATAATCCGTGCCCTGAAGTCTATGTGACGCATTTGACGTGTGCTATTGAAAGTACTGCCAGGATACTCGAACCCCCATGCGAAACTTTCTGGAGTTTGAAATGACAAAGTTCTAAAATTCGGCCTATGTGATGGAGAGAACGTAATGAGGGATCTCCAGTATATTTGTAAGTCGCAAAAATCCTCATCCAATAATTCACCAATGGTGCAGTCCTCTGGGCTCAAGTGTTGGGCAGGATGAGTTAGTCTTTCGATCAATGAATGCATTAAATATTTTCACTGCTGGCAAAAGCTCATTAAAGGATTTTGCAATTCTAAAAGTATTCATAATACTAGTCACGTTAATAAATATTATTATAAAATTATATAAAATAACTTAATATTCGAATTGTGCTAGTCTTGCAGCCCATGAACAATTATTAACAATGTACTTCATAAAATGACATGAATAGAACATTCAGTAAGATGATGATTCTTTTGAGAAAGAGCCTACGTGTGAAGAGGACGTTACGCGGGATCTCTGATATATTTAAAGTACGTCGTAAAAATCACACAAAAGATGTAGTCCTCTGGGCTGAAATGTTTTGCAGGATGAATTGTCTATAGATCAGGGGCCGATGTCAGTAATACCACATCTATAATGACGTTTAATAAGTTTCCCCACAACATATTTTTTGGCACAAATTGTCCATCTATACAGGGCTTTCTACACGCTCAAAAAGATTGTAACAATTGATCTCTTCCATCGTGTACATCAAATAATATACAATTTGCAAAAACGGAATTGGGTTTTCCCAAACACGGTTACAAAACCCATTCAGCAGGGGTCCTAAACACGTTCTTACTAGACTAATGCAGTATCTAATCTCTGGATCGAGTTCGTAGTCAGAGTAATTTGATTATGTCCTCAAATTTTCAAGATCAAATACAAGTCCAATATGGTGTTTATACAGTTTTAGGAAATCACTGGAAGTAATTGATTATTACATGTTTCCAGGTTGCTGAATTGAAATATTTTTTGTAACAAATTTAGTGTTATAAATAAAGTATCCATAATAGAAAGCAAACTAGACCAGTAATATGTAGTGAACATGAATTAAAATGATATTACGTATTTTTATTATTTTAAATTATAAAATTTAATTTAATGATATGTAATACTGTTTTTTGCCAAAGGTTGCCGATTTAAAATGTAGATAGGCTGAACAGCGTTCTGAACATGTGTGGATGAACGCAAAAAAGTAATTCCCATGTTAATTTACCTAACGAAGTCAATAATTCCGACCATTCCGATCGCGAGTACATCGCGTGAAGAGCAAATGTGAACTAGTTCATTGTGGATGTGTGTGTGTCGCTGCGGTCGCCTCTTTTGTTCGCGCGCGCGACGTATCTCGGTTTCTATGGCCCTGGCGGCGCCGCTTCCGGTTCGCTCGAATGGTTCAAATGGCGCCGCGCGTGCACTGGGTGCGCCCGATAGCCGGCGAACGGAGCTCCACTTCCGCTCCAGGCTGGGAACGGGTCAGCTGTCGAAAAAGGACTCAATCTGTATTGCAATACTGTTGAAATTAACATTCGAGCGAATTATTGTGCTGATGGTGGGAAAACAAAAGTCCAGGTTTTGCCGGTCCGGATGGCCGAGATCGCTAAGGCAGTAGTGCCGTGGATCGCGGGTTCGACTCCCGCCTCGGGCATAGTTGTATTTGTGTTCGTCCTTTCATCCCCTATCATCGTCATATCGTGTCATCCTCACAGTTGCAATTCCGTTACACGCAATAGTGTTCGCTAATGATCTAGAAGTTAATGCGATCTTAAATAACAAAGTGCAGTTTTATTTAGTAACTAGAGGACCCGTCAGTGCTTCGCTATTGCAGTGTATTTGATACAATTTAAGTTCAAAATAAATAAATTCAATGAAGATTAAATACACCTTAACTACGAATTAACTACACGTCATTATCTTACATTTCACTTTAAAAATAAAAACGTTGTGCAACGCCGGTATTTGGTTCAGACTTCCTGCTTTTCTCGATCGCAACGCTGATGTTATTCGATATTATGGGTCGAATCGAGGTATGTAATTCAAAAAGATATCCACTTCAAGCGAAGTTCTCTGAGATGGACGTGGAGTCCATCTCGTCGATTAACTTTGCAAAATCAACGCCCCGACATGACCGACTTAATTCAACGACTCGGTAAATGCTCCCGAAATTAATAAGAACGAATTGTGAGCATTTCAGCAAAATCGGTCGAGAAATTTTTACGTCTGTATGCGACAAACATACTCACATTCACTTTTATTTATATATAATACATATAGATACAGCCAAAAATGATTAATTGGGATTTTTGACAAACTGCAGTAGTATTTTAGCATACGTACTTTCTAAATTAAAAAAACAATTAAATATTAATTTTTATGGCGTAAAGGGATGTGATTGTTTACCACAGGTGTCCCGACCCCTTGACCCTCAGTCTGGAATACCATGGCAGGGCCCTAGTCTCACAAAGCCGCAGTGTCAGAGTACATATCGCTCGTGGGCAGCAATATTGGCATAATTAAAAAAATATGAATTTTGAGTTAATACTCTCCCCAGAATTGATAATTGGTCTACCTTCCAGCAGTAACAGCAGTATATCTTACAGGACTGTATTCCACCAACAAATGGTAGATATATGAATGCAAGAATGTTGCATTTCAATACAATGTGAAAACTTCAAACTCATTTATCTCAACTCCTAACCTTTTGCATTTTGACACTATTGCAGCTCACGAACGATATATTCATGTTTTACCCTGCTGATGAAAGCTGTTTTGTGATGGTGTTCTGAAAACAATAACGACTTTGATATAACTATTACGAAAATCAATGCTTGAAATAGAATATTATAACTGATTATGCTGTATAACAAGGATAATGAAATGATTTCTGTACTTAGCTCAGAAGGTCCCATTTGAACTGTTGTACTCGTAAATATTTCACAACACTATGAAAAAATTCAATTTGAAAACGTTAATTTCATGAAATACGTACAATGTTTTCTTTCGGGATTTAGTTGTAGCGGCTTCGATGTTATATCAAAGTAATGTCACAATGTAAGGTACTGCTCTGCCAAGCTTTGCTGAATTCGATAACAACCCATAGCGTATAACTACATGGACCGTGGGATGCAATACAGTCGAAAATGAAGATTTGAAATAAATACAAACGATTTCACTCCTCGCACAAGCTTTACATAGACTTTACATTACCAAAATTATTCATAAGAGTCATTTTCATAAATATGTTTATAAAATGATATAAAATAACTGTCATATAACTCAAAATTCGTATTTTCTGAATGGAGCTTGTGTTGCAGCCCCATGAACAATTATAAATAGAGTGCTTCACAAAATATAGTGCATTCAGTAAAATGGTGAATGGACGTGAGAAAGAGCCTGCGTATGAACAATGTATGTGTGTATTGATGTGTTGCAGGCTGGACTTCTTCGCGTACGAGGGCAGCGGGAAGAGTGGCGTCACGATGGGTGAGTGCGATATGATCCTCCTTTCCTCTCCCGCGAACTGCTCACAGTGGTCTCGAAACAAATAAAAACGGCGATACAAATCAACAACGTATTCCTTTAACGAAACGTTAAATTAATTCAAAGATTTTAAGTTTTAGTAGTAAACAAATTACTCACTATTACCAAATAAAGTTACTACTTTTCATTAATAAGATATATAATAAGGCGAAAATAATTTTTTTTAAATTGATAAAATTGCAAGTATTTGGTGAAAACACAAGTATTTCTTTGAGTAGAGATATATTGTTTTTGAGATATTTGACGCACAGCACTATTAGTCAATGTAAGTTTCAACTTGAAATAAATTTTTGACGTACACGAATATCAGATATTTATTAGCTACAAAATGTCTCCAAGAAGAGTGCTTTTGCGATGCTAGTTTCCTTTTAAAAGGCATGTGCTAGGGAGATATTTTTAAATGAGTACATTTAATCACTGGTAATATTTTCAGGATTGTACAAAATATTGTAAATTTGTATTTAAAAAAAATTAATAACTTAGAATCTTTGGGCATGGAACAATATTAGCCAATTATTTTTTGTTGAAAATATATTGCGTTGATTAGTATTCCTAAAATGGTCAGCTCTCTATCTACAATGTAGGAGAGTACTGTTTGTACCCATGCAAAATTTCCACAGTATTCAAAATAACTTCGAACGTCTAGGTGATGATCAACGCTTTACATCATAGAGGTTGGGCACTATGCGTCAGTCTACTTCATATAGGCTCAATGCTATGCGTTAGTAAACATTATTTTGTTAAGAATTCAGTAAGCAATAAGTAACACAGACCTGTGAGATGAAATTGAACACAATATAAAATAACCAATTTAAAAATACATAGATTTTAAGATTTGATAAGATGCTGATAACCTGTGATACAACTATGGAAGTTCGTAAAAGTGCTTATCCTCCAAAAATGTAATAGAAGGTCCAAATGTCATTTTTCTTCCAAATTAAAGAAATAGAAGGCCTCATTTTGTTGACTGCGGACGGAGAAACATGCCTCAAAACCGGATGCTTGATTATTTGATGTTTCCGGGCACGTATACTGCCATGATACTTACACCCGTTAGCGTAGTGAATGTTTTATCCCGGGATGCGGCGATGTTCCTTCCCCACTGGATAATGAGGTCCGGCGCCAATATATACGTTAGCTTGAGGGGGGTTTTCAACTACAGAAATTTCCCCCAGTGGTGCACCGCCCCTTCCGGGACAACTTCTGAGCTCCCTCTCCCGAAATATGTGGTTGTGTCGAGCGTGTAAGAGTGTTTGCGAGGGGAGAGAAGAAGGCAAGGAAGAGAAGGATCGCGCGAGGTCCGTAGCATGAATGTCAGAGTACTGCTCTCCCGCCACCGTCGGAATTCTAACACAAAGACCGCCCGGTCACAGTTGGGTTAGAGAATGGTGACGTACTGGCTCTGAGCTCAACTCAGTTGGCCATGAGGAATGAAGTCCAGGATATTTCAAAATTCCTCTTTGTGGTACCCACAACCCGTACTCGTAAGCGGGTTTCGATAGACTTCGACGCATCGCTCTTCAGTTAAGATGGATGGCAACGTGTGTTGCAGTTTGCTTGTGTGCTTTCTGATTTCTTTACTGCTTAATCGAAACAATTATCAATTTTCTTCTCTCTTTTAAACACCAGCGGGAGGAAATTCCTTATCGAGCAGTAACATACTTCTTGGATGCTGTATCGATAGTGTTTTATAAATCGTACAAAATACGCCATCTTTTCTTAGCTATTACACATACTGGGGATGTGTACTACACACATCAGTCGATTGTTTAGATGTCATATGGGGATGGGACAATCAGCCAAATCTGTGAAGACGTCGGGGTATCTAATTAAATTAAATTTAGTTAAATTTAGTGTGCGATCGTCTCATCACGGCTGTTGCTTCAGTGTCTGAGCCACTGTGCCACCATCGCGCGCGCAAAAACCTTGGGGCGCTGTGGCGGTCACGAGCAATTGACCGCACGCCCCCCCCTCCACACACACCGCGTCATCGTTATAGCACCGCTGCAACACGTGACGGTCGCCCAACATGCACCAACTGACTTCAAGTGCAGATAGTTTCAAGGCTAAGTAACGGAAACGTGGTAGTAGAACATGCTGGTGTCGGTACAGTAAACCTCTGAACACACATTGCTCGGCTGCGATAGCTCATCGGCAACATTGGTCTTGTAGTATCTTTGAAGGTCCTAGAGTTTGAGTACCGACGGTGGCAGAGTTTTGACATTAGCTAGGTATTTGGGTCGAATTCAACCTGTGGAGGAGAATAATATGGGATGTGTGAAACGATATTCGAGTAGCTCCCGTTTGTCTGTTTTGTCTGGTGGTCGATCTTGTGGTACATTTTCTTTAATTAATCGTTGCTTTTCACGATATACAATGGCCTGCTTTCGTTTTAGCCAAAGAAAATTGAGGAAAACGTCCTCCAGCTTTAATTCAGAAAGAATATTCAAACAGTAATTGCGTGTTCTGTAATCAAATTATAGTCTACATAAAATAATCTTTGTAAGAAATTATTTGGCATCTAAGCTGCGATTTCTTTGTCTCTGCTAATTGATTACGCACGTTTTTCTCGAGAGATAATTTCATAACATTCTAGCCCATTCCCCCTCCTCCCGCCGACGCTTGACAATTCAGTCCCGGGTGGGATATAGAGTCCTTAAGGTCTAATGCCTCTTCGCACACCTTGCTATTCCCGTGAGTGTTGAATAGACCTTGAGGAGAACAGACTTATTAAAACAGAACCTGATCAACATACCGAGACATATATAAATGACTTGTAAGACCTTGCGTACAAATGATGACTTGGTATAGAGCCGCGTTGACAAGCTTTACTTTTTAAATTTAACTCACTTGATACTATGGGCAAACCCTGTCGATTGGTTCTGTTGAAATTATGAAAGAAGCAAATGTCGCTTGCATATTTGATTCAACCAATTGTGTTACTTTGTGTACCAAAATTCCTACTAGATTTCGAACCAGAATTGCTTCCCTCTGAAATTTGCTTAACTCTGAAATTTGCCGCTCTTGCCACGAATATAAGGCTGGGCCTATTTAATGTGAAGCAGCATTGCAGGGACTGGCATAATGTGAGATCACTGGTTCTGCGAATAAGGATCGTCCGGGATAAATGAATCCCTTTTATCAGAAAACGAACTTGCTTTTTACGACTTCCCTCACACACGAGCACTTAATACGAAGAACAGAGCCATTCATATGGGCATGTTTATGGCGATTCCATCTCTACTTACTTCGATGAAGAAGTGGTTCACTGACACATCGTTATTTTTAACGTGGGAAGAAAATAATAAATCATACTGACATCCTTGTACATCAATCTTCGTGCAAAAAATACTGTCAAAAGGAAGACAAAACGATTAAATAAACAATATGAATCATTCTTTTTAACTCTTCTTTAAATTGTTATCAATTTTTGCACAAAACATATGTGCACGTATGTTACTAAGTTTAATTTATTCTTACTTTATAATTGTAAAAATTTCATATAAATGTGCGACAAAAATTGTTTTAATTTTCTCAATACGGGCATGCAAGATAAAGCGGGGATAGATAAAATTCGAGGAAGTGCGTATGAAAAATCCTTTAAGAGCCAACGGGTTGATGTTCCAATTGGTTGGTGTACGTCTATGGTTTCTGTACGTCTCTAGCATTCCAGAGTCTTCTAAGGGTTCAACGTTCTTCAAGGAATTTTGTTGAAGTAAACAGTGACATTTCAAGGTATGCGCGGAGTATAAATGGCTCGATTACAGGGATGACGTCAATCGAGCAATGGTGCTCGTCCAATGGCCTGTTGTTTTCGGCTATGTCATCCGCACCCCTGTTGGAACAATGCTGTGAACCATCAGACCTACGATGAGTCGAAATTGAAATTCGGCGTCATGTGTGATGTATACACAGTGATGTCACTGAACATCTAATCTAAGTCTGCGTCAGACTAACTTAAGTGATAGGTGAGATATAGGAAACCCCATTCAGACGCGAGATAATTCCTGATAGTAGTTCATTTTGATTTAACCATTGTACTTGTACGAGTATTGAGAGAAGTGATCAAATAATCATGTCATTAACAGATTTTAAGTCTAAAGCACATTATTGTAATGAGCACGATTTTTACTAATGAAAGGAAAATTCATAATGAAGTAGAGTGTATTCTCAGCAACGAGAGAGTGATACTCTACTTTTATCATTCGTAAATACTTTTGTATTTCGATATCTTTATTTAACATATTTATATTAGGAATATAATAGACAGTCCTTTTAATCATCGAAGTAGTGCTTTAAGTTATCATAATTTCGAATATTTCTCGCTCGTAAATCAGTACATTTATTAAGAAGTCAGATTTTTTCAATTGTTATAGCTGAATTTTTGGGATTTGTTCTCATACCTCTGATATGTGATCAGTACAATATACTTTCTTTTATTATAAATAGGTGTAGCTGCGCTCGTGAGTTTTTGCCAAATATAAAGTAAATAAACAATTAACATCAGTTTTGTGTAATGACATTTCGATTCTTTATGCCACTTTTGTCAGGGTTTAAAGGAAAAGTAGTCGTTACGCTTATGTAGGTCTACTTTAACATAGACATATATCATTTTCATATGACATCACTTCGTAAGTACTTTGGTAATGAAAAATTTACTTGACGTTGAAACGTCAGCATGATGTCTACACAAGAACTGGACTAGTTTCGTTTCATTAGGGTTACCATACGTCCTCTTTTCCCCGGAAATGTCCTCTTTTCGAAGTAAGAAAAACCGTCCGGGTGGATTTTACAAGAAAGGACGAAATGTCCCCTTTTTAATTGGATACTTATAAATACTAATACTTATAAATGCAACCTAAGCGTATGATGGATTAATGATACTGCGCTTCGTTCAACTTCTTCGTTCAAGTCCCCGACATCATAACATTGCATTTTTTTGTAAATAAATGACATTTAACATCAACCTTCTTAACAATTGCCAAAATCCATTGATGAACTATATCTACATTTACGTCATTTACTCCATGAAATTCAACAGTGTTGCCATCTGCTAGTACAACATATTGTACAACTTATGGTTTGCTGGTGCTGGTTTTATATTTTAGCTCTGTCATAATACTGTTCAGCGGGCCTGTGGAGTTAATACTGCTCTGGAGTATTTATATTTCGAGCAGAATGTCATAAAAAAGCCTTATTTAATGAAATAAGTAAGAAAATTCAAAGCGTGTTTTACAAGGTTCAAAGCGAAGCAAAGCAAAGTTCTAATTGTTGAGGGAGATACATCATCCACCACATACTTCTGGTATAAAAGGGAAAAAACTATGATAATGAAGTAGGCCTATTGTATGATTGTGGATGTGATCACAATGATTGAAGTGTTTATTTTGTCACTAGTATTTGGTCTTTAAGAAAAACAAATTATTATATTAAAACATTTTATATGAAGTGTCCTCTTTTTCCATAATGAAAATATGGTAACCCTACGTTTTATATATTAGATTTAAACTGAATGAATGGAGTAGATTAAAACTGTATCCATCCATTTTGTACAAGAATAGTACTGACGATAAGCAATTTTCGCTTCTAAAACTGTTGTTTCTGCGACGATGTACGTTTTCATTACTTGTCCATAACTCGTTTCTTGTCGTCCGCAGGGCTGGCGACCGTGGGCGGCGTGTGCCTGCCCCCGTACGACTGCGTCATCGCGGAGCTGGGCACCGTCGACAAGTTCGGCAAGCCGTATCCCGCCGCCGGCTTCACCTCCGTCTACGTGCTCGCCCACGAGATTGGACACAAGTGAGTGCAAGCGTGAAGCGCGTTCATCGACTTGCGGGGTTCACGTCTACCCCCTTTAACTTGCAGCCGATGAACTCTCGAGGCGACTAAACACACCTCTCCGCCCGAAGAAATGGTAACTACGTAATCGTGTCTGACACAATGGTGAAAAGCTGTTCTGCTCCTTGTGATCTGAACAATTACGATTCTGTTAATCACCAAATAGGAAAAAATTAATCATATCTTTCCAAGTTTAAGTAATTATTGTTTTATTATCATGAACAATTTACAGACTTTTGCATGTGGCCAATAATCAAAGGGGTTGAATTACAATTATTAATGAACAATCTTTCACCAAATCCCGTCTTTCATTCTTGGAAGCGATTTTTGATTTGGCATAGATAATAAAGCTGTGGATGCTTCCAGCAGTAAATTATCTCTGGCGGATTGCGTGTTTACTAAGGGGGTTTTCACGAACCTAGTGTGGGCGCCTGAGCATAGCTCTTATCCCCCTCCCAACATATGTGCAAGTTCACCGTTGGGCTCGTTTCAGGATTCGTCGGAATGCGAAGAACACATCAACCCAAAACCTGGGGGGGGGGGCGACATCGCCAACTCAAGGTATAACCACCTTCCCAGGTTCATTACGGAGTGGTATGCCACTCACTGCGTCGAGTCAAAATCCCTCCTCAATACCCAACCCTGTCCCCCACTGCAGACCCCTAACGACGACAGTCACACCGGGAATCTGGGCACCAGGACGTGAGATTTCAATTTTCCGCCAGGACTTATCTTATGTGGGACCACAACAGAAGGCCGTGGCCCCAATCTCGCCCGCAGGGAAACATTAAAGCAGCGGAGTCTTCGAAGTAATTTTTACTGGTCGCTGCAACACAACTGGGGTGATTCCAAACAATCACGCTCGATCTCGGTCACGGACGCAAGTACTTTCTTGACGAACAGATAAATTCTAAAACGTGAGGTACGCACTTTATAATGGGCGTGTAAGTGTAAAGTTGGTTGGGCTTAGCTAGTTTTGCAAAAAAAATATTACTATTTTGACGAGGCCAATTTCAATCGTTTCGTTTGAACATTTACAAATCAAACGGCTTATATTTATTCTTCGGTCCCAACGATTAAATAAAACGTTCTTGAAGAGATCTTTTGATGGAAGCGATCATTTATTTTTATTTTTCTACGTTTTCTTATTCTTTAACTGGTTTTCTACCTCATTTCTTACTGTGATTTATTTGCAAGCATTCATGCATTTTATAGAAATTCCATTTCTTTTAGCATGTGTATTGTTGTCGCTAATTTTTCACTAGATTTATCTACTCAATTTGACATTTATATTCGTTTCATAATAGTCTTCTTCCTACAATCCATACATTTTTATGTTATCGTTAAGTTATCCTCGTGTTAATACAACGTATGTGGTCCAAATTGTTATTCTGATGTATTTGGCTGTTTATTTTGATGTCAACATGTCAATAATTTTATTTTCATTCATTGTAATATCTCAGAATGTTCGTTTATGAGGGCAGTGGGTTTATCTGACCCACTTGTGATTTCAACATGTTCAAGATGAGAGGAAGGTGATGATTTACACAAACTCTTTGACATATATAGAATGACATCCAGTATTATTGCAAGGGCAACATAAGAGCGCACTCTCGCAAACTGTTTAGCTTCTTTTCGCAAATTGCCTATTTCATCATTACGAGTTTCAAATTCTTTTTAAAATGTGTATGAAATAAAACGACGAAATCCACTGGTCTTTAGAAGAAGGTATTTTTTCAGTCATCAAAGTACGTTACATTTGGTTGGTTTAGCGTTTCTAAAAGTTAGTTTTCTAAACTTACACTCCTAAAAATTTGGAGTGTAAGTTTAGAAATCTATGTCTCACAAATAAAATTTACTTTTCTCAATAATCTATAGTTAAAACAAGTGTAAACGATATCGCGTTCATTCCAGAACCAATTAAAAGAGTACAATCGGACAGGTGGATACATTTAAGTCAGGAACTCATCCCTTTTTTCTATGAATAGCTAGTCCATGGTTTACGTTAAAATCCAAACATCAAAACTTCCTTCTTCCTTGAAATATTAAGAGGAGATTAATCGAGGCGTCAGATTACAAGATCGCTTCTTTTTCTGGAAGCTGGATGTGTTCCAAGCTCTCCTCCGCCGAGGAATAGCTGTTAAGGGTGACGTGTTTGTGACAAACAAACTGCGCGTCACTGCTATCGATTGCTGTCGAGTAAACATTTCCTGGCGCGGAGCGGTGGTTCCCGCGGGGCGTGTGGTCCACGCGCCTGAAACAACACAACGCGGCAGACCCTGTCGTCGGAACACCACCGGAAACTACACGAGGGCGCTCGAGATCATCGATGGCACGGGCGTGCGGTGCATTCAGATTTTGAGACATGAACCAGGAATAAAAAGAAGATTTGAAGAAACGTACGAAACGCACCAGAAACATCGATTGATTAGTGATTTCGGGCGCGTCAATAACCACGTCATTAATCCCGTAAGTGTAGTGGATGTTTTCTTATCGCGGGAGCTGGAGGCCATCTTCCCTGGCCGAACGACGTGATCCGGCGCCGACCAAAACGCCGCCTTCCGGGGTTTTCTTCAACTAGGTATCTCCCACCAGCGAGACACCGTCCCAACCGGGACAAACTCTCGAATGTTTGGTAGAGTAGTGCATATAAGTGTAGTGTATATGAGTAAGGGGTGGGACAACATGGAAGAGGAAGGAAAGATCGCGTGCGGTCCGCAGCCCGTTCGTTCTGGCATTCGCTTGGTGCTGATCGGAGAAACCTAGGAAAATTCCTCTCCCCGAGACAGTGGCTGAATTCGATTTAGCTATCCAGACAGAGTCGAAAGAGCCACCAGGCCAGTACATAAGAAAAATGTGAGAAAGATGAAATAAAGTACAGTTACATCCCGTCACCATAAGACATGATGTATTACATGTAGTAAACAGTGACACAGTCTATAAACACACTATGATGAAAACTCTGTTTGTGTGGCTCGTGAGACATTGTGTATCTATGACACAATGTAATAATGCAATGTTGACAATCTTTAAGCATATTCAACAGTCTCCGAATTTCTGTAATTTCCTAATTGTGATTGGTTAGTCTTGATTACGAAACACTGACAACGAACATTGTAATCTGTTTGTTGAAACATAGATGTCGACGAAGCAGTGTGAGCATTTGTTTTGCTTTTGAAAGGAAAAGAGCATGCTATTGAAATCTTTAGTACAACCAAAAAAGATGAGACGACTAACATACCAAATTTTGTGAGCAGCAAATTGATTTGTACGGTAATTCTTTTGTCGTTCTGCAATTTGGGGGAAGCAATGTAGACATTATTCCTTACAAAAGGTATATACTTGTACTATAGAACAAATTCTCAATTATGAGCTAGAAGTTGCCGCATTTAATCGCTTTCCAAATAAGGAAAACGAAACCAAAATTCTCAGAGAAGACAGATCATCTCTCTTTCCAACACTAATTTTCCGCTCGGAAATTTCTTGCTACCTTAGTATCAATGATACGGCGCAGAAATCATTTCCAGAATGTGGTTTCGACCTAACTGCGTGTGTCAAAAACTCGTCTTCGTCCAGAACACGTACCCAACGACCTTCCCAAAGGAGTGCGTATCTCTGGGGAGCGATGGCAAGGGGGCTGTGGCCTCCTTGAAATGTTGAAAACGGACCCCTAGCTTCATGTATGAAAATATTTTATTTCCGAAAATGTGTTAAATCTCTTATAAAAAAGGCATATAGAATTTCTGGATACATTTTTAAAATTTGCACATTTTTTTACATTTTAACTTTACATTTTGAGTGTACATCGTATTTTCGGTTAATTAAATTGTACTTCTGTAACGGTGTTACTTGAAGTTGTATCTGGACGTTTATAATTGTCACCGAGTGTAGAGTCAACGAGTTAATGTCAGTTCCCCCAAAATTGACGCAATCGTTACATTGGGCATGTTTTTGTCATGTCATTTTATAAACTTCCAGAATTCTGGGCAAAATAGTCACTCCATTCCCATAGGAAACACTTATAAAGCGCTAAAAACCCTAAAACGATCGTAAACATAAAAAAAGTTGGGTAATATATATATATATATATATATATATATATATATATATATATATATATATATATATATATATATCCAGATAAAAATTAGGATAATTCGGAACTCTCACACAATCGATTTAAAATGCATTTCAAAAATTGACTAAAAATTTATTATTGAGGTCCAGAAATATAGGCGACCTGTTTTAAGGCGGCTTCACACATGCGGCATTCGGCGAATCCCGAGTAGTGTGGACGGGTTGCTTGCGATTCGCCGAGTGCCGAACATTCGGTATTCGCCCTACCCACCGCGTGTCAAAGGGAGCGAACATTCGCCGAACACATCGGCTGATCGAAATTGGGCGAGCAGTAGCTCGCTGTTCGGCGAATGCCGAATGTGTAGAGCCTACGGACCTGCCAGTCAACAATCCGGCAGAGGCAACGGTGTTGTCGCAGGGCCAGGACAGGAGGTTCTCCCGCTTCACTTTGTCACTCTGCGGCTCCAACCAGGCATAAAAAGCGGGCCTCCGGCACCGCCTTGTTTCCGGGGATTCCGTGCCGCCCCAGCTCCGCTATACTAGGAGTCATTTAACCGAGCACTTGACGAAAATCAGCTGTTCACAGTTTCATCCAATCGGGAGCTTGAACGTCCCCATAGTAACGTCACTGACGTGACCTATTAACTCCCGATTGGATGAAACTGTGAACAGTCGATTTCCGTCAAGTGCACGACTAAATGAATCGTACTACAATGCGCGCCGAGTGGGGATCTATGCATCCGGCGTCTGACGCCGGGAGCACTCACCCCGGAGCCCGGAGCGGCGCGCCGCGGCGCGGGCGGAGAGCAGCGGATCGCAGCGGGCCTCCCCCGGCCACTTCCGCCGTGACTCCGAACCGCAGCAGGCTGTCTGCGCCGCACTGT